TATATATATATATATAAACGCGGAATGTTTCTTTTTTCTATTAGTATTTATAAAACAAAAACATAAATACTATTATTTTCTAATATTTTACTTCTATATCCCCATAAAAAAAAATCCTTATAATTGGATCAGATATAGATAGATAGATTTAAAAGAAAATAATTACGTCTAAAATAAATGTTGAGGGAAGATTATCTTAAGAGCAAACGTGTATCGCTTTTTCTTAATTCAAGATCATGCAAACTACTAACTCACAAATAATATCAAAATGAATGGAGATTCCTTTGGAAAAAAAAATGTTATTAAATGAAGAAACACACCTTATAGTATATATATATAAAAAAAAAAATAAAGGGAATAACATTTTACCTAAAGTTGACAAGTATATATTCCATCAAAATACGATACATATATTTGATGCATCAATGTTTACATTTTTGTGACCGAATTGTTACTCATCATCATCACACTAATTTATTTTTACTTAAAATAATTTTATATTTTTTCACATGGTTGCTCAAGTGGCAACTATTTTAAGATGAATGGAATGGAATGAATCGAAACGCAAATATAAAAACATTGAAGGGCGATTATTAAATTATTAGTAAGTATGGATTTGTTTATATTTAATTTTAAATTAAGAAGAGCATGAGTGGGCCCCACAGAGAATATGGTCCCCACTGAACAATAACAGTGACATGCGCAGCAGAAGGCATATAAACTTGCCGCGTTCGTTGCCTAGAAGAACATAACAAATGGAACAATATTATTGGATATCCAAACCTTATTTTCCAAAGAATCTTAATTTTATTAAGAATTCGTTCAACTGTGCTTTTAATTTTTTTTTTGTCTTCATTTAATAATCATAAAACTTTCACATTTTTTCTTCTATCTTTAAAGTTTTATATGTAAAAAATAAACTTAAACATATCTTTAATCCCTATAAAATGATATTTCAATTGTGGTCTATGTAATTTTGTTTTTATTTTTTATTTGTTTAAAATTTGAGACTATTATTTTAGTCTTATTACTATGTAATATGTGTAATACTTTATTTATATGTGATATTTTAATTTTTTTTAATATATTTTTAAAACAAGTGACAAATAATATATATATATATATATATATATATATTATAAAATATTATTAAAGACAAAAAAAATTTAAAATTTTAAAGAAATGAAAATAAATTTTTTTAATGATTAGAATAAAAATTTACTTATTTTATAAATAAAAAATGAATTAATTTTTTTTTTAGAAAAGTGAAAAGTAAAGAAAAAAATTTATAGAAATCAAAATTAAAATTCATTATCTTACGAAGACTTAAAAATATATTTAAACATTAAAAAATATTTTTTATATTTCTCAGACAACTGTTAAAAAAAAATACAAGTAAACGTCCTAGATTGTTCAAGTCAAGACAGACTTTTGAATGCATTTGTGTCATTTTAATTTGCTTTAACATTTTTATATTTTTTAACTTCATACTTTTAATGATGATATATTAATAATAAAATTCCCACTTTAATAGATAATAATTTATGTAATACATTTATACAAATAATAAAACTCCCCCACTTTAATACATTCGTATAAATATTATTTGGTGAAAAAAAATCATAAAATACATTTTTCTTTTGACTGTCTATTTTAAATTATTTTCACATTATAATGTTAAAATAATCGAGTCATTTAATACATTTTTACCTCTTACTTTAACGAATTAAAATTGAATTAAGATATATAATTAAATCAAATTTTTGTATTTTTTTAAAGTAGAATAATAGTTTAGATTGAGGTAATATTCGATTCGATGAAAGATTGGATTCCAAAAACCACCTCTTGTAATATTTACATCAAATAAACACGAAGTTAAAATGTAAACATAATGTGTATTATAATGTTTATTAAAATAATAATTATAGTCTACGGGAAACTTTAAAAAAATGTAAAAAAAAACATTTGAGTTAAAATTGTTAATACCTTGATAATGTATTGGTATTTTTGTAAAGATCTATTATGATTTTACACTCAACAGAATCAACTATTGGTAATGAAAAACAAATAAAATATTTAAGATATTAGTATTCACATCACTTGAATATCATATTATATAAGTGTCAACTACCTGAAAAAATATAAAAAAAAAACATTTTTACAAACACACATATATATAAATATATATTTAACATATTAACCATTCGTATATAATTTTTTTGACTAATTAGTTGTATTTAATATGATTCATGATATTAATAATATAAAAATCTTTTATAAAACTTAATTTTAATCAAATTAGTTTAATTCAGCTTAGAATTATCAATTTGGATCTAACTCAATGAATCTACTCGATTAGTCTACAAATAAGGTTAGGTTGGACCTGGAAAATGATGACCTAAATAAAATTAAATCATGTTGGTCTAACTTGCTAAGTGTGACATGCCAAATGGACCTAGATTATGTTGGCTTACAACTTACAGGTAGACTCGTTAAACTAATAAGTAGAATAATTCAAAATATTATCGATCTATAATTTTATAATGTATTATAGAATAATAGTAACAGTCTTACACCCTTTTATATATGCTTATAAAGTTATGGTTACAAATTTATAGTTAAGGTTAATCATTATGATAGTTTTGTCACTCTTGTCACGTCTTTAATGACTTAAATTCATGACCTGTTATATTTGTTATATTTGACAGAGAAGATGAAGATGTATGCTTGTGTCCGTGCTCACATAGTCATGATAAAAGTAAGAGTATGAATATCAATGACAAAAATTAAGATACTGAAAAAGAAAAAAAAAAAAGTTTAATACCTCTTAGGTATGAAATTATTATGAAAAGGTAAGTTTATTTGATGAAGTGGATAAATGCAAATGCAATGATTATGAAAAATTGTATACATGTAGAGTTAGTAGGTGTTTCATGACAATATATAATATTAATTAATCATATTATATGTTTTTTTTTCATTATAAAAACTATAGTTTGTTTTTTTTCATAGTAAAAAAATAGATCTTATTTTTTGAAATATATTTTTTTATTAGGTTGATTTGACCTAATAACCTAACACGAGTCAAGTTATGCCAAAAAAATGATAATCTTAAAAACTATAAATTAGACCAACTTAACTTAAAATAGTATTTGATTTGTGTAAATTAAGTTGAGTCAAGTTGACATGATTTATTTGACACCTCTAACTCAATTACTTAAGTAGAGTGTATAAGTATTATAATTTTTATTGATATATGTGTTAGATTGCCATGATATTTTTTTTATTCCTTGTAAATATATATATATATATATATACATGAATTTTAGGAAAGAAATGACTCAACATTAAAAGAATGGATTAGGTATCAAAGTTTTTGATATTTGATATATAAAAAATTTCTTCTTTAGATGAAAAAGTTTTCAAGTATATTTTGTGAATTAGTTAAAATCAAATATTTAACCAAGAGGACTTGAATCCACTGAAATGTATTATTTCCCATAACATGACAAACTAAAGTTTAAATTTATATTCGAGGAAATATTTATATTTAGTATCCAATGGCGTCTTGTATATAATTGTTTTGAAGAAAATATACGTGGGAAACTAAAAAGTAAATAAAGTTATTGAGATTAAAATATCGTTATTTTCACATATGATAAAAAAAAATACGTGATAATTAATTGTACTTATAATAATTGACTAAAATATATTATAAAAGGTCAAATAAAAACTAATCATATATTTTCTTATAATTTTAATAGATATGTAATTATGTATAGTCAATATAATTTTTTTTAATCGTCATTAATGAATATTTATTGTAAAGATTATTAAACTTATTGTATGCGCAATATTATTACTGATTTTAAAGATTTTTTACACTATTGATTAATATATTATTTTTTTACTAGTTTAAATTTTTTTATTGCCGAACTTAAATATTTTTAGAAACATTTTGATTGAAAATAAAAAATAACTCTTTTACCTTAGGAAATGAGTGGATTACTTTTTAACAAAATCATAATTTATTTTTGAAATCTTGTATTTCAACTCTATTTATTTATTTTATCAATTTAATAATTACATAAAGCATCAAGTATCAATTTTATTATATATTTCTTTTAGTAGAGATCATATGTATCCAATACAATCTTGCTCGGCTACCATTCATGTCGAGACCTCTAATTAAATAAAAAACAATTCGTACAAATTACCCATGTTTCATCAAATTTGTTATATGGTACAAAAATATATTATTGAAAATAAATACTTATTAGGTATTAAAATTAAATTCCCATCTTCGTACTTATTGTGATTGTTATTGATTTTTTTATATATATTTTTTTATAGAAACGTGTCAAAGCTCCCATTATTTTATAATCATAGATCATCTTTGTGCTTGTAGTTTTAAAAGGTTAAAAAATTAAAATCAGAAAACAGGAAATTTCTTTAAAAAAAAAACTTATAAAACGGAAAAGAAAAAAAAGCTAAAAAAGAAAAAGGGAAATAAAAAATGAAAGTCTACGACGTTGTTTGTTCCCTTGCGGTCTGTAACTCTTTGACAATATGGATGCAGAGAAGACGCAGTTTATTAGAACTCATTCTCTCTCTCTCTCTCTCTCTCTCTCTCAGTTTCAATTTTCAACACCATCCCAAAATTCCACTGCACCTGTTCCCACCTGCACCATTTCTAACCCTCCCTCATTTCTGCACACAATCCGCTACTTTTTCTTCCATTTCCAGATTTCCTACATTTCTTATTCTCGACAAACACTCATATTTACACTCTTTTTCACCTTTTAAGCTCCTCTGCTCTTCTGGGCACCGCTTAAGGTTCTTATTTTTAACTCTTCTTTTAAAAGAGTGATGAAGTTTTTTTTTTTTTTTTTTTTTTTTTTTAATAATATTTTTTTATGACATTTGTTGGATCTTGGTATTGAAATTTTGAAGTTGGATTTTTGGTCCTAGGCTGTTCTGGTTGGTTGTTTTTGATTTTTTTGTTCTTTTTCTGGTGTTTTGTTTTTTCCTCATGCTTTCTGGCCTGACCGACTCTGAAAGATGATTTATGTGCATGTTGTTTACAGTGTTTTTGAAATCTTTAGCCTTGTTTGTTTGCTTTTCTTCTTCTGGGGTTCTCTGGATCTTGCATTTCTGGATGTGTTCTCTCTGATCAGGTTTTTTACTTTTGAATTTATTGGTGAATTGGGGGGATTGTGTTTTGTTTGCTTTAGTTTTGTGGTGATTAGTATCTGAACTTTTGCAATCCATTTTCTCCCTTTTCATTGTGGTCTTCATGTTTTTCTTTTTAACCTTTCAAACTTTGCAGACAAAACTTTTAAGGGGACTGTACATGTGTTTGAATTTTGTTTTGCTGGTTTTTCATTTCATCTTCTTCAAGGTTGTTTTGGTGTTTTCCTTACGGAGAAAAATAAACTTACATGGTCTGCTTTTCACCGCAGCATACCACTCGAATCCTTCAAGAGTGGAGCTTGATATGATCATTGATATTGTGGAGTAAGACCCTATTAATTTTGCAAATGCTAAATTTTGCTAGGACAAGAAGTCAGCCGAGGTCTACCAGATCTCTGTCTTTGGGAGGTAAGATTTTAAAATTGATAATAAATAGTGGTATAACTAACTCTCTGTTTATATCGAATCAAGCTTAGGTACTTAAAGCTTTAATCAATTTTAAAATAAAAATTTAAAAACTGTCTTTTCTAGCACTTCAGTATAGGGTAGTTTGGAGTCTTTGGACACTCTTGATATGGCATAAGTTGTTTGTAATTTGTGAATTCATTATTTGTCAAGATTCTGTAATTTATTTTATGTTTTGTTGGTTGTTTACTAATAATTCATCATTACATATCATTATAATTAAATTAATGTTTTAAGATAAATTTATTCTTTTTTCTATTTTGTCTTTCAGGCATGGATTATGTGGACCCAAAAAGGAAGAGCAATTTTGTTGGAAAAGTTCTTCTTGCTGCAGCATTAACAGCACTATGCATTATCGTGATCACGAGATCTCCATCTTTGAATTCCCCTAGTCCGGTACCCTATATTCCTTGACCCCATCAAATACATATAAATGATTATCATAGTCAACCATGTATGTATATATGTATATCAGTATATGTTATGCATGTTTGAAATTTGAATATCTATAAGTTATAGAATAATGAAGCTTGTGTATGTTTAGTTTGGTGTTAACCAGTGTTGTCAGATAGATATAAGAAAGAAAGAAATTAAAAGTAAGAAAGATGAGAATTTATAGGGGAAGTTTTGTTGAAAATGTTATTTTCGGTTATAATTTTCTGCCTTGTTATTGTTTGTATATGTAAATTAACTGCTGTTTTACCCTTATGTTCAAGTTGTTGATTACTCCTTTTTTTTGGGGTCTTTTTTCAGTTTTCCATCCATGAACCAGGTGTCACCCATGTTTTAGTGACAGGAGGTGCTGGCTATATCGGCTCGCATGCTACCCTACGACTTCTGAAGGAATCTTATCGGGTCACCATAGTGGTATGTTTCTTCGCAATATTGAATACTGCTATGATAAATTTGAATGCACTTGCTGGTCTGCCTATTAAACAATTTTTTCTTTTTTGCAGGATAATCTGTCACGAGGAAATTTGGGTGCTGTCAGGGTTCTTCAAGACTTATTTCCAGAACCTGGAAGGCTTCAATTTATATATGCTGACTTGGGAGATAGAGAATCTGTATCCTTATAATCTTCCCTTATTTTAAGAAAGAAATAATTTACTGCTGAATTTTAACTTTATATTGAAACGTAATGTAAGAGAATGCCCAAGAAAAGTTGTGTACTTGACTTGACTGGCTATTAGGTTAATAAAATATTTTCCGAGAATAAGTTTGATGCTGTTATGCACTTTGCTGCTGTCGCATATGTGGGAGAAAGCACACTTGACCCTCTCAAGTAAGTACTGGTACCTTTTATTCAGTAGCATAAGAAGTGGGAATTCGGAAATAGCATTTGTGTGTGGCTTCTAATTTCCCCCATCTACCCATGTAGCTTGAAATCAGATTAGGTTTTTAGACACAAATTGACATTCTTAGTGTTATATTTACTCTGTTGTAAGGTTTTATAGATAAAGTCATGTATTATATTACAAGAGCATTTGCATTTTTCTGATAACATTGGATAATAGTTTTATTTTGTGATGAATTTTTCAAGTATGAGATCATGGATAAAAATTACTAAGACGAGCAAAATATAGAGTTGTTGATATAGTGTGTGAAATGACTACCATAGTAATGACAGAAAAGCTGGACCTATTACAGGAAAAGCCTCTTAAAATTATCTCATGAAGAGTATCAGAAGTTGCAAGGCCTTTTACTGGATTATTTATTCTTACAAGAAAATTATGTATACCAGTGCATGTAGAAGTAGAATGTATTGCCTTTAACTTAAACTTGGTACTGGATAAAATTCCTGGATACCTGGGATAAAGTATCAAACTTCTATTTATTTATATAAATAATTGTATCACGAAAATAGAAGGTGGGGAGGGGGATTAATTGTGTTTTCAATATTGTTTTATTTCGATAACATTTACCTGAGATGGTTTGGTGTTAAAATTCATCTTGATTTAAGTTCTACCCGTTTTTTAATAAATTTTTTAACATACTTTTTTTGTCAGGTATTATCACAATATTACGTCAAATACCTTGTTGGTATTGGAGTCTATGGCTAAATATGGTGTAAAGAAATTGATATATTCTAGTACGTGTGCAACATATGGGGAGCCTGAAAAGATGCCGATAACAGAAGAAACGGAACAGGTGAGAAATCTAAATGTGGTTAAATTATGGAGTTTGGTTAAGAACTCTTCATTTTCTGTTGCATCTTGTAATGGCTTTAATACAGATTGGAATGTAGTGCTAAAATTGTTGTTCTTCAATTTCAGAAACCAATTAATCCATATGGAAAGGCCAAGAAGATGGCAGAAGACATTATCCTTGATTTTTCTAAAAATTCTAGGATGGCAGTAATGATTCTGAGGTTTGTATATTTTTTGTTTACATTTACATTTATGATATATACTCGAAGGAGATCCCTGATACGTTTCTTCATATGACAAAAACCTTTATTGGCATTTACTAATAAAAGGACAAGAAATATTGATATTTTGGGATTTTTTTAGCTTTATAAAACTGAACAGTTAATGTTGCATAGACTGTTCGTATATTGTTTGAGGTATTGTAATGGATGAAAGATAGCATTATAGCCAATCAATGGAACTTGATTTAAATTTAATTGTTCAAAATTAGGTGTGGCTGTAATTATTGATAACTCTGCTTTGGGAAAATGTAGATACTTTAATGTAATTGGATCAGACCCTGAAGGTAGATTAGGTGAGGCTCCAAGACCTGAACTTCGAGAACACGGTCGAATTTCTGGTGCCTGCTTTGATGCAGCTCGTGGTATTACATCTGGCTTAAAGGTATGTGGAAATTATCATTTTTACTTTTGGCTGAAATGGAATTCTTTACGCAAGCCAGAGACTCTGCAAAATCCATCTTGTTAGGAGATTAGTCTAAGAAATAATAGCATTTGATGCATTACCAAGAGAACATTGGGAGGTAGCCTGATCAAGACAGCTATATTTTCCAAACTCATGATGATGTTGCTGTTTGAATGCAAACCAAACCTCCTAGTAGATGATTTTTCTATTGCCTCTTGTAGAAGACTTGAAAATTGAAATGGTTCAGCCATATTTAAGTAAATTTTATATCTGTTTTGTTTTAATTTTCAGATATGCTTATGCCATTTAATTTTCCATTACGTAGAACTTGTTTTAACTTTCCATTTAACTTATGTATACAAGTTAATTCTAGCAAATTAATTTGGTTTATTTTTTGAACTAGTATACCTCATTGTAAACTATAATGAAAATGTGCTCATTGTATTTGTTTCTACCATGCAGGTTAGAGGAACTGACTACAAGACACATGATGGAACATGCATACGAGACTACATTGATGTAACTGACTTGGTTGATGCTCACGTGAAGGCTCTTGAAAAGGCACAGCCTGGTAAAGTAGGGATCTATAATGTCGGCACTGGAAAGGGTATGTCTTAATTCTTTGGCTTAATCGCATATTTTGTCACCCATGTTTCAAAATTTTCTAACATTTTGCCAACCCCATAAGTTGATCATTTGATGCTGTTAGTTAACTGTAGATGTAACATGTTGACCTCTTATGTAGCATTTTGTATCATATCATCATTCATATGTCATATCAGCAATTCATATTGATGGTCAATATACTATATCAGTAGTTAAATGTGACTGTAATGGTCAATTAATGTGATTGCAAAATATTTGAAAATTTGAAAATTGTGACAAAGTTTGTGAAGTCGTGAAACATGAGTGACAAAAAGTGTAGCTAAGCTACCCTTTGAATATGAAGAAATAGTGCTTGAATGCAACTCCACATATATCTCACGAGGAGTTTATTGTGTATCAGGTAGATCAGTGAAGGAGTTTGTGAATGCTTGTAAGAAAGCCACAGGGGTGGACATAAAAGTGGACTTCCTTCCTCGTAGACCTGGTGATTATGCTGAGGTGTATAGTGACCCTTCTAAAATCAACAGGGAACTCAATTGGACTGCACAATACACTGACCTTGAGAAGAGTATACAAATTGCATGGAAATGGCAAAAATCTCATCGTAATGGTTACGGCATTTCATCTGCAATCTGAAGATTTTTTTGTTTTTCCGTAGGGAAGTTTGGTAGTTCATTCATTATACTTACATGTATTCAACATATTATGAGTCAATAATAATAATATAATCCCAGCCTCTGGTTGGGGGGTATAGCTTTTCTTCTATCTTTATATTTTGGCCAATGCAGCATTCACCTCAATAGTACAATATGACACCATATAAATTAATAAAATGCAATCATGTACACTGCTAGGGAAATTCCTTATGAACAATTTTTCATTAGTTAAAGTGTTGTGATATTAGTCGATTAAAAAAGACCATTGTTTTTGTAACAAAGATTATTGCGCATAAGTAAAATAAACTTTCAATTAAATCCTCTGTAAGATAAGAGTACCGTTATAGATTTTTATTTTTAAATCCTTTTAATTCCAAATTGGTTCTTTGAAAATTAAAGTATTATCGTATCAGTTCAAAGAACCTGAATTAATCAGAAATCTAATATGATGTTCGGATACTTGTGGTCCTAAAAGAGATGATATCATGTTAACCCTAAGCTCAAAAAAAACAAAAACCGAAAGCTATCCTTGTCTGATTGCAACCTATTACAGGATGCACGTGAAAAGCTGAAACAACTCGAGCCCACGAATTAATTTCGCCGACAATATTTGCATTTTAATTTTATTTCTTTTGTTTGAATATGCTTTTTTTTTTTTTTTCTTTTTAGCAAAAGAAAAAACTTCCTTACATCAATTTGAAAACACGTATGAAACCGAAGTCAAGGCATAAAATCACGTCAAACCATTTTATTGCAAGTTTCCCTTATTTGGTCTTTGTCAGTTTTATATAGCAAAATCAAAATGGGTTTTCTAGTGCTGTGCTGCCTTTAAAATAAATAACAAATAAACAAATGAAGAAAGATGGTAAAAGAAACTTGCAGAAGATCCACATTGCTGGGCCCTTAAGGGTCCGAATCCCGACTAAGGAAAAAACTTTCTTTAAGAGGAAACAACCCACTATGAGTGTCAATACATCTTTGGACACATTTTTTTTTTTGCAATAATATGCACTATATAAAAAATAAAATACCCAAGAAAGTAGATAAAAATATAAGGTTATTCTTTTACTTATAATCAAAGGCTAATTTCTTTCAAAGGATGCAAAATACTAATATTTATTTCTATTAATAAAATCTTTTATCAATATGTTTAAAATATTCAACTATCTACTAGTTATACTAAACCTTGCTAGATCTTACGCATTAATATACAAAGTAAAAGCTACAAAAATAATTATGATGCAATAAGAGAAATAAAAATAACAAGTATTGATAAAATGTGTGAAACATGAATGTTTATATATCATTATTTTTTTATTAAGGTTTTACCATTTGAAAGTTAAAACAATAAAATACTAATAACTAGTATTTTAACTCATGTAATGTAACCATTTGACATGTTTTTACATTTTTTTCACTGATCAACATTCTAAGTAGTGAAAAATATAAATATATTTACTTAGGATTAACATGCAAATAGTACATGGATATACATGCAACAATAAACACACAATAATTCAGACTAAAACATAAAACTTAAGTTGCCGGTTAAACAATAATCTATACCAACTACAACAAGTAACCCCCGACAAAAGAAGGGTCATCTCTTCATGACACTCTAACAGCTAATCCTTTAACCTAGTCTTGTCCTGTTCTCACATAAATATGATCATCATAGTCCAACAACAGGGAATTGCAAGGGTAAACTTAAAGATAACAAAACAACATAACATATAAATGAAATACAGTTATACCATTAATATCATCATACCAACACTGCACAATATAACATCATTTCAACATAAAGATTACTTAATGCTCAACTTACCAACACATATCAACTTACAACATAGGTTTATCATTATTCAACTTTACAACACAACATGAGATCAACACATCAATAACTAATAGTACACTTACTTAACAACTTTCAACAAGTTAACCTAACATATAAACAACACCATACAACTTATCTACATTTTAACTTAAAATAACACTACAACATATCAACACAACAACACAATGCATTGTCACACATTTCAATTAAGAGATCTTTTACAATATAGGTGAACAAGCTAAGTGACTTGACCCTACTAAATCAACTTAACAATGTGATTTTTTTGGGCTTGATCAACAAAAAAAATTGGGTATTAATCCACAATACAATATGATTTCTCAAATTTTGTCATTTATACTAGGAAAGTCCAATATCTATGTTAAGAATAAAACAACTAAGGTATGAGTCTACTTGACCTTAACATGCATAACTAGGCCTATATGAAATTAGTCCACTGGCTACTCTCTAAATATTGTGCCTTTTCTAATACTTAGTTAAGGATTTTGGCCTTTAACCTTGTACCTTACTTAGTTGATCAATTCTAAACCAATATGGATCGACCTAAAGGAGACTCAACACTCTACTTCAAGTGACAATTATACTTAAGAAGAGTTTTTCAACAATTGGGCCCTTAGAGCACCACAACACCATATCCTCATAATGTGATATTCATCTTTTAAAACAACAATTCTCCTCTAGTCCAATTACATGCATCAAGCATAGTACAACTAAATATAGTACAATTACATGCACCAAGCATTCACAACACAGCTCCATTCAACACTATACATTTTATCATCATACAACTCTACTACAAATCAACTTTCAACTTGTTAAACTCATAACATCATCATATGAATCAACTATCATCATTATTCAACATTTAAAATCAACCATGTAAAGGTTTTCATTCAACATAACCATGTCCAACGTTGGTGAGGCATAAAGCCTCTCGTCCACCCACTCATGACGCCATACCACTTGCATCCAACATGAATGAGATTCGGAGTCTTTGAGTACATCACACCTTATGTCACAAAACTCATCCCCGACGTTATTCAGGTAGAGAACCTCTGCTTAATCCATGCCCAACACCACAAAACTTGCACACGACATTGTCTAGGCAAAGAGCCACTGACTTGATCACTCGTAGCACCACTTGTCTTCGGGTTGACGTCACCAAGTTAAAGAGCTCACGAGTAAATCACGCCTAACACAATTCAACTCACGTCCGACGTGGACAAGTCAGAGATCTCTCAACTGACTCACAATCGGTGCTACCAATCTCACACTTGGCATTAGTGAGACAGAGAGCTACTACCTTGCCTTATGCTCAATGTTATGAAGTTGCACCCAACGTGATGACGATTTTCACACTGGGTAGAATCACAATTTTGTTCCAAATACCTGAAAATCTGCAGCAAGTAACATAAATACATCACTACTAGTTCTTTTTCAACAAGAAAACCAATATGCAACCATAAAAGGCCCAAAGATCATCAATTTCTTCCAATAAGTGCATAGACGCTAAAAAATCCAAACTCTACCACATTTCATATCTCAATTCAACAATACAACTATAAAATGGTGATTTTAGGTAGAAAACAACAACAACAACAACAATTCAACATTTATAAATCAACAAGTTTCCCTTACCTAAAATCACAAGAAGAGAAGAAGAAAGGAGGTGAATGATGGAGAACACTACCTTGAGCTATCACTACATCACAACACCACTAACACTTGATTCTCAACTCAACTTTGAAACACAATCCAACAACAAAAATCCACACTTCGACGAAGATCAGGGGAAATTCGTGAAGTCAAAAGGAAGTGTGATTCTCCTTTGGATTTAGAGCTCATTTCTCTAACTTGTCTCAAACTTTCTTAAGGAAATGAATTTATGAAGTTCAAATCTTAAGAAAACTTTATATATTCTTCCTTAAACTTGGTCAATTTTAATTTCAACTCAAAATAACTCCTAATCAACTAAACTTATAAGAATTTCTTAATTTTTAGAGTTTTGCAACAATTAAACAACTAAATACATAATCATCTAAATCAATAAAAAATTAACAAATACTAATAAAATTTCACAATGTTACATGTAATGTACAAACTAAATGTTTATTATATGTAACTAAAATTTATAATAAATTATATTTTATATATAATATTTAAATATATAAATCATATTAAAAATTTATATAAATAGATATATTTAAACATATAAATATATTTTAAATTTATGATAAATATTTTATAGTGATAATATTATTTTTAAATATGGATAATTTATTTTAAAATATTTTATTTTACTTTATAAATAAATATAATAAATAAAAATAAAATAAATGAATTACATAAGAAATTACAAGAATATATAAAAATCCTCCGTTAAAAAAAAACTCTTAAATTTGCTCTTGGTAATATCTTAATGTAAAGGAGTTGATTTATTAATCACTTAGCATATAAATATATCTAAAACTTGTAAAAAATACTTGAAGTATAATCTTGATGAAGAACTTTATTTTCAAAATACTACCGAAGAGGTACATTATATTTGATTTTTTATATATATAACTTAAAAACAATTCATTCCCGTTAAATTGACCCATTGAGGATGATGTATACCTCTAAACCCAAACCAGAAAGTACCCATTTATGCTATAGATTTGTAGTTAAACTTCTGAAAATTTGAATTACTCCACAGAATCAGTTGTGTTAAAATTTATATGATCAATTATCAAATAATAATAACACACGAGTCCACCGTACCATACAACGCCTTTTAGTTATAGTGAGCTGGTGTGTACTTAAAAGAACACAAATTAAAGTTATTAATTACAAAACCTCTAGAAGAATGTATAAAATTGTAATCTCTAATTAGGAGGTTAAAAAAAAATTATCATCAAATTTAAGTATATACATAAACTTTATTGTTTTAACATCATCGCAGTCCTTTCCGTACGTTTTTCAAATTGGTTATTATTCGGGCAAATGTTTCAAATGCCAGATACGGTTGTTAGAACCTAGCTTCACACAGCAATCTGTTTTTATTTTCAATTGAAAATACAAATAAGAGAAGGTAAAACTTTGGACAAAATTGAATACAGATTTCCCTATCCATCCACACAATGGTATTTCTTGCTTTTCTAGTAAAATATACGATGTAAATGACCTTGCTTAAAAATTAATGTCAGATGTGGCTTTTACAACATCAAGACTTAAGTAAACCAAACATTGTTATAAATTTGAATACTATGACACATTACCCAGTTGATTGTGTTCTAAGATACGCAACCAATACAATAGCACGATAAGGTGTAAAAATTGCATGGGAAGACCTCACACCATTCAACTCCTGAAGGAAACTCATGAAGAAAATCCTTGTAGCGCTCTGTCAAAACTTTCTTCTGCTGATGATACCCGTTTCACCAGTACATGGTCTGGGTGAGAAAGTTTCAGCTGGCTGCAAAGCAATACACGTCATTCATTGGTCGAACATCCACTATTAATATGAGTGAAAATTATATTGACATATAGAATACTTAAACTAGAACACAGGGAACAAATTAAAAAGGAAATGTTTAAATCCAGAAGTATAGTGGAAGATTCAGCTAAAATGAAACGTATAGATATATGACTGGTGGCCAAACTTGAACGCATCCATTTGACACATTTTGCATATGCAAACTATTTATACAAAGGAAATCAGAAAGTCAGCAGAAAATACATGTATGTCGATTCCACCCAAGCATATGGTCTTTAGAGTTTAGACTAGGGGTGTTCAAAGTTCATGCTTCAAAATAGTTTCTTCCCATCATGGTTTGGTTCAATGTTCTGAACAAATATTATACAACATTCTAAACAAAGGAGTATATACATATATTTCTAACATGATACACATTTTCTATACATTGTATGTATAATATGATATTACTGTTTTGGACTAGTCATTTTACCAATTGGACTAGGACTACAGTAGTACTTGATTCAGTTGTTACTAAGTTATGTTCTGTTATTTATATAACTGATGTTAACTGTAATGATTGATATGTTTAGAATGTTAACTCCATTAATACCATATTAATAGCATTGATATGGTATTAATAAAGTTTGACAATCCAAAGAATCATACCAGGGAAACAAATCAAACCAAACCCAAGAACCATGGTGTGGTTTGGATTCCAAAATATGTATCCATGAAACATTGTTTGGTTCAATATTGAATTCAAATATATTCCTAGCACTATATTACAAGGCTTTTAACAAGGTCCCAAGGCATGCTTTGAAGACAGTTAAAAGAAACTGCTCCATCTGTGATGATCTTGGAGCTCCCATTTACCAAATACTTAGAGCTACACATGGTTTTTGACATGTGATCTAAAAACACTTGTTAGGAAGACATACAAGACATACTCGATATACAAATATTCTTGCAGGTCCTGACTCATAACAAGCACATACAGTTGATTCAGAATTGAATAACACTCTCGAGGAAGCAAAGATTTAGCCAGCCCATGTACAACATTACATCCATGCTAGGATATTTTCAGTAGACATACAGTGAAAAATATTATATGCAAGGAGGGCAGAAAAGGGTTTTTCCAGAACATGTAACCGGTTATTCAGAGAGAGAGAGGAAACAAACAATAAAGATGTCCCGAGAGTTTACCTGAACGATTTATTGGATGGGTTGCCAAGGTGAAGACAGCATACAACTAGATTGGCAAGAGTTTCTGGATCCCTGGCATCCTGTATAAACCACAAAACCATTTTCACCCCACACAATTTTATAAAAGAACAAATCACCCGATTAAATGTCACTTCAGTACAACAGCTTAAGGTAAGAAAAACCAAGAGCTAGCACACAAACACAAAGTGAACGAGGAAGAAACCATCTCAATACGAGATGAATTTAAAAAAAGAAAAATTATAAACATTCACTTCCTTTTTCTTCCATCTCCTTTCCACCCTATTTTATTCCTATCTCTCTCTTTCTTTTCTACAATATCCCTTAGAAAGATGTTAGCAACAACACACACCGGCTAAAATTTATTGAAAATCACCGAATTGCGAGTCTCACTCCTTATTAATGGAACCTCCTCATGATTTTGTAATTTTCAACACATCTTACTGTTACTAGCACTCCTATAACTTGTCACATCAATCGCTTTTCCTCTCTTCCTTCGACCCAAAATGGAGTGTATGTTTATATATTTCTTTCAAACAAAGTGAACCAATGAATACTTCCAAATGAGAAGACAATAGAGACCATTCCGAACTCAATTGTAATTTGTAACCACGATCCACACAAGAGAGGAGGATAATATACAACACAATAGGTTAAAAAAAAACGTGCCTTGTTTAGTGCTTCAACCAAAAGGGTCTCAGCCTCATCAAAATTGCCCATGTGCATGCAGCAAACAGCCTTCCCATTCAAGAGCAAGCTAGTGGACTGATACCTCTCCGACAAATCCTGGAAAATCAGATACGCCTCCTGGATCTTCGACCCACCCTAATCCACCAAAAATCACCACTTTTTTCACCATCATTACTATTCCAAATCTCAATCAACATAAATATAAATAGAATACAATACCACAGCCAAATCAAGCCACGCATTGGCGAGCTGCGTGAGAGTGTGATCCTCGTCCATCTGCTGCATGATCCGCAGCTGCCTCTCCGCGTAATCCGACCTATGCATCTTAATGAAGATCTGAACATTCAACGCATGCCTGAAAAATACAAAAAAAATTATAACAAGGAAACGAAATAATAGTAATTAAAATTAAAGTTATAGTTTTTACAGTTCCATGGTTCCACCGGCATTGGTGTATTTGAGGGCTTCGTTGAAATCATTCTCGTGGAGGAAGACGAGGCCGGCGACGAGCCTGAGCGTGGCGTTGTTCCCGATGGCGGGATCGGCGAGGAGCCAGTCCTTGAGGCTGGAGATGGCGGATTCCTGCGAGATGCGAGATTTAGAGGGGAGGGGAGCGTGAGAGGAGAAATTGGGGAGAAATTGGAGATGCTGACCTTGTTGTCGGGAGAGGAGAAATAGAGGGCGAGGAGTTTGACGGCTTGGAGAGGAGTGGGGGCGGAGTCGTTGATTTCGGAGATGACGAACTGCAACTGGCCGAGGGCGATGTAGCAGCGGTGGACGAGGGAGTCGCGCTCGACGACGTCGTCTTGGGAGAGGTTGCTGACGTCACTGCTGTTGATGGCCGCTTGGTATGCGCCCAGGTAGAAGTTGTTGCGGAGGTTGAACAGGTGATCCGGTGTCGCCATTGCTTCAGCCTTCAGATCAGATCTCAACAATTTCACACTGCGATTTCAGATTCAGACACTCCCACTCTTTTTGTTTCCCTTCTAATTACTATTACTATTACTATCGCCTCTTATTGGGCTTATCACTCTTATTCTTCTTTCAGGGCTACTATTGGGCCTCGCCTCACTCTTCCCACTCATTTCCTATATTCACTGTTTATGTTTGTGGATCATAAACACACTTCCCTTTTTATATAAACACATTCCTTTTTTTTTTAATATATTAAATCTCTAAATTATTCTTAATATTTTTCGAAACTTATAATTTTTAGATTTGTACATTTTTTTTTCTTTCTTTTCCAAGCACCTCCCTTCTTCTTTCTTTTTCACCCCTTTATTCTTCTCTTCTTTGTCACTTTCTTCTATGACTTTTCTACCTCCTCTTCAATCATTTTCAATTTTTGCAATATCTTCTTTCTTTTTTGTTTTGTTCCAGAAAGTACTTTTTGGAATAATAAAATTTTTGTTCCGAAAAGTACTTTTCGGAATAAGAAAAATTTTGTTCCAGAAAATACTTTCCATAATAGTAAATTCTTATTCTAGAAATGTTTGGTTCATGATATATACACCTCTTTTTTTTCTATAAGTACACCTCCTTTTTTCTATAAGTACACCTCATTTAAAAAAAAATAATTAAAATTTTAAAATATTTTTAATTTTACATCCATAACATTTAATTTAGTACTTTTTTTCAATATCTTTTCTCCTTTTTTCAATTTTTACATGCACCCCCTTATTTTTCCTTCACCCCACCTATTTTGGTAGCATTGAAAATTGAAAGAGAAAAAAAAAGTATGTGAATAAGAAAAATAAAGTAGCAAATTGAATTAAAATTAATTTTTTTAAAAAACTTATAATATTTTATAATTTTTTTTAAAAGAAGGAGGTGTACTTATAAAAAAAAGGAGGTGTGTATATCATAAGCCGAAATGTTTTGTTACATAATTCTAGAAAGTACTTTCCAAAATACTAAAATTACTGTTCCGGAAAGTTATTTCCGAAATTATATATAAGAAACACACTTTCAAAAAATATTTTCCGGAACAATAATTTTATTATGGAAAGTACTTTCCGGAATGCTAAAATTAACATTTTGAATCTTATTTTCCGAAAGTACAACAAATTTAACTTACGTGTTTCTTTATATTCGTCGTCTACCACCGTCGTCGACGATTGAAGTAGGTTAATTATATATTCCTGTTGTCCATAAGTAATGTTAAATAAGTTAAAAAAATTATAAATATAGAATGCAATTTAATATATTAATTTGTACCTTGTATTGAATGTAGAGAATAATGAAGATTGAATGAAAAATTAGGGTTTAAGAAAGAATAGAGTAGAAAGTGAAAAATAGAATTTAAAAGATAAAAATATAAATTATGATTATATTGATTGTAAAAGAAGAAAAATCAAGAATGAAAAATGAAAAAAAATAAAATCAAATAATGACTAAAGTGATGAAAAAGGAGAATGAGAAAAAGAAAAAGAAAAAAGAAGAAGAATGGTGAAAGAAGGGGGTAAATAAAAAACAAGTTTAAAAATAAAATTTTAAATAAAAATTTAGTTAGAAGGATATTTTAGATATTTTATTTTAAAAAGAAAAGATTGGAGGTGTATTTATAAAAGATAGAAGGTGTATATATCATCCAGCTTATACCTTTACAAATCTAACTTGTTATTTTTTTTTCCCTAAAAAATAATTTTAAGATAAATAAATAATATTTGTTTAATAATTTTTCAAAATTTTAAAAAGTGTGAATGGTATTACTAATGACTATAGATAATATTTGAAATGATTACATCATTTTTTTAATAAATATATTAATAGTTAAAAAAAAACCATATAATTGTAGAAAATTAAAAAAGATATTTAAAAAATTTAGAAAGATAATTTTTTTTAAAAAATAAAATAAAATCAAAACTTACTCATGTAAATATAATTATAATAATTAGTTACACTAAGTAGGGTCATTTTATGTGGTTTATTTCCGGGGTCCATAGATTCATTATGAAAAAATTATTAATATAATATATGTTGTTATATTGTTAAAATATATATATATATATGTTATTGAATCTCATTCAAATCAACACTAAAATTGTGTGTAATTATATGTCAAATAGATTTATAGTTACATAAATTATATTTATAATAATATTTTGTATGTAATATTTTTTGTTAACTATTATAATTAATTAAAGTGACACTACAATAAATGTTACATATAGTGACATACAAAAAGTGTCACTATAATATAATATATGTAGGTATATATCTATTTGGCATATAGCTACACACAATTTTAGTGTTGATTTTGAATGAGATTTAACAACATATTTTGTGTGTTACTATAACTTATTATACTCACATCTTTTAAATATATACCAACATATATTATATTTATTGTGTAGGTAAAAGTAGTTTTAAGTGACACATATTATGTCATTATAGGATGTGTGTCACTGTATGACAATTTTCTTGTAGTGTGATATTAATTTGACAACTAAATATATTGGTATTGGGATCCTAATATAGATCAATTATATATATATATATATATATATATATATATATATATATTTAACACTAATTATGGCATTGGCATATCTAATAGTATTTATTCAAACCTTAATAATATGACATGATATAGACTTTAGGACTTATGGTGATGCACATAATCATGCACAAATAATACATTAAGTAATATATGCTTATGCATATGATTACGTGGAAATTAAGTGGAATTTAATTATTTTTTTTTTGGAAAATAACTGCATCTTTGGTATTCGAAATTTTGGAATTACATTTATTAGGAAGAGTTGTGAATCATCCTTTTATGGTCTAATATGGTTGTCCCCAAACCTTGGATCAAGTCAAATCTTCTAATATGAGCCAAAACTCATTTATGTAATGTGTTTTCTGTCTTCCATTAAGTGCAATCACCTGCTTGATTAGGATTTAGGAGTAGGGACGATGAAATGTACCCAAGTTGGTTACCAATTAATTAATTAGGATTTCTTCAAATTTACCATAGCTTTGCCTTTCTTTGCAAATGAAGATGTCATGCAGAAAATTGTGATCGATCCATAACAACTATTGGCAGCTGTGGTGCTTATTTAATAATATCGAAAATTTAATTAGAAGCTATCGATCGGGTGCAATGTTCTATTGAACACTAACCCAAGTTTATTAATTCCTGTGCACCAATATATAAGTGGATGATCACCCATATGAATTAAAAAGAGAGTGGCTTTATTATAATAAGACATAGACGAAGCTAGCTAGGGCTTCACATGATGCATATGCATGCATACATACAAACCAAAGGTTTTATTATTTATTCATAGCACGTACATGTAGGTGGTGCAATAAAGTAACTACGCATATATGCATGCATGTATATTACTAGATTACGTTATACCACCACTCTCTTGATCGAGTTCCTTACTCCTATGGGCAATATGGATCGCCACCCGCGAAAGCGTCAAAAGAAATGGATGGCTTAGGTAATTTGAATGATACCACAACATTATCACAGCCCCGAGAAGACATGTTTAATTAAAACTTGTGTTTGTTATGCAAGTTTCTTTGATCGATGAACTCTTCTATCTTAGCTCCAGTTTTTATAGATGCAGATAATTAAGGGAATCATGCTATAGCTGTTTGCTTTAGTACGAAGCTAGCTATAGCCATTTCTTTCTTGTTCATAACATTGATTCGTTTTACACTTACACGTTACATCGTACCGCGGCTATTTAGATATTTTATATTCTTATATATACATAGATTCATGCAAATTACTGCTATGGATAGTTGGATACCTGTGCAGGAAAATGATAACAGAGAAAATGTTCTAGCCCAAGAGATCATAGATTGTTTTATGAAATTAATTTACATTTCTGTAGACTAATTAAAACAATAATTAAGAAACAAATAAAGAATAAAAATTATAGAAAAGTTGTCTAACTTATCCCTAAGAAAAAATGTGATCAATCACCAACACTCCATCAAATACGATTAATGCAAATTGTGCAATTAAGATGATTCTACCCATCATTTTTGTTGGAATTGTTTAACTTTGTTTTTGCGGGGTAAGTTAGGTCACTCTGGTATAAAATAAGTAATTTACGTATGTTATTTTAAATTTTTTACATTAGAAAAAAGTTCAACGTTAATGCGGGAGAATATAACGAGTGCAAATTGACGTAAATTTACGTCAGACATTGCCAAGATTCGACATAAAAAAGTTGTAAACAAAAAAAAACATAACGAGTGCAAGCAGAACAGACCATTCTGCTTGATAGAACAATCCAGAAGAAAAGGCCAACAACCCAAACAAATAGAACAACCAAAAGACCGAATAAAACAAATAGCCACAATAGCAATGCGAAACAAAAAGGTGTTAGCGAAATCCTGATTATACCTGAGCTGCAACGGTGTGCGAACGGGTAACGAAGAGTTCACCCCACTCTACAGAAGATATAAAAAACGATTCAGCAACAAAGGAGAGGGAGAGAGTTTATAGAGAGAAGAATCTAGAAAAGTGATGAGATTCGAGTGAGGGCATGCGTGCGTGTGCCTCCCATGCACTCTTCTTATTCGCTTTCACTACTTTTTTTTACGTCGGACTTGGTAGAGTCCGACGTAAAATGTAAAATCTACGTCGGTTGTATGTGGTGTCCGACGTGAATTTTACATTTTACGTCAGACCCTACCAGGTCCGACATAAAAAAGTTCACAAAAATTATAAAAATGTCACCGCATCTTTTTTACGTCGATTTTTGTTATGTCCGATGAGAAAGAGGTGACATAAAAGACTCATTTTCTACTAGTGCCAGTTGTATATACCAATTTTTATATATTAAATATAAATTTTTATCTTACATGAAAGTATTTTTATTTTATATTTTATTTTTAATGATCTTTTAAATTTTTTTGTCTAATCTAATTAATATTTATCACAATTATTTATAAATTAAATTTAATATTTTAAAAATAAATTATCAATAAATAAAAATAAATTTGTTATAATATAAATTATTTATGATAAATTTAAAATATAATTTATGTTGTTATAGGAGATTATATATATATA